CAGCATCCTGTCCCCTCCTCTCCTGAGCAGACCCAGCTTTACTTCAGGGCTCTCCCTCCCCTGGCAGCCCCAGGACTGTCTCCTGATAAGTCTCGGCCCACCTAGAACCCCAACCCCTTTGCCGGTTCAGACACCCAGGCTGAAGCCAGCCAGCACCAGCATCTCCCTTGCGGCAGTCCTTCATCCAGAGGGGACTTGGGGACTAAGGGAGCCCAGTCTGACCCCTTATTTCATCTCCTGCTCAATATGAACAAGGAGGCACGATGCCCCAGTTGCTTCTGGCACCTGCAAAGAAGCGGGGAAATTATAGACTAGTCCCAGGTGGGCTAAAGCTGAGTCACTGCCCCCAAATAATTAACACCACCCTTCCCAGCAGGAAGGACTGGCCACTGCTCAGAGGAGATGGTACTGGGTTAACAAATGGCAGAGACACCACTCAACTACTTTTGAGTCCATTCTTCTAGCAAGAAGGATGGTTTTCAAACTGGAAAAGGGAGAAGAATATATTTACCAGGGACGTGGCCCAAGATATCTCTGGCGCTCCCAATGCCTTCCACTCACAGATGCGGGAGGGCTGGAAGCTCAGAGCTGACAAGGAGGGTGGGCCGAGGACACCAGGGACTGTTCGAAGATCTGGACCTCAACCCCCAAGAACGCCCCAGCCTAGAACAGCCTCCCAAAGATGCTTACAAATGTTTACCAAAAACACCAATAGTAAGAGCAGCAGCAATTCTGATAGCGGGCCTACCCCGTCCCGATACTGAACACTTTACGTGTATTAACGTGTTCAAGCCCCACAATAACGCTATGAAATGAGAACTGTTATCACCCCCATTTTATGGATGAGTAAACAAAGCCCTAGAGAGGTTAGACACAAAAGCAAGCTATCAGAGGTCAACATGGGTTCAGGACACTGGGCCATCATTTCTCGTCCTTGTCACCGTGGTCTTGCTCCTACTTATTAAGGCTTTCAGGGCTGGGACAGCGACCTCACATGCTTTGAAACGTCAACCTGTGTTCTCACACACGACTCATGTTTTCATCGAATTTCCTTGTCTTCTCTTTTCTACTATGATTCCCAAGTCAATAAATTAGGGGAATATCGGAGGCCAACCTGATACATACATAACATTATTTTTTTTTTTTTGTGGTACGCGGGCCTCTCACTGTGTGGCCTCTCCCGTTGCGGAGCACAGGCTCAGTGGCCATGGCTCACGGGCCCAGCCGCGGATGTGGGATCTTCCCGGACCGGGACACGAACCCGTGTCCCCTGCATCGGCAGGCGGACTCTCAACCACTGCGCCACCAGGGAAGCCCCATAACATTATTATTAACTGAAGTCTGTACTTTATTCAGACTTCCTTAGTTTTTGCCTGATGTCCTCTTCTTGTTCCAGGACCCCACCCAGGACACCACATTACATTTAGTTGTCACGTCTCCTTAGGCGTCACTTGGCCAGGACAGTTTCTCAGACTTCCCTTGGTTTTGATGACCTGGACAAAGGCGAGGAGCACTAAGCAGGTGTTTTGTAGAATAATGTCTCTCTGTTGAGATTTTTGTGATGTTTTCTCATGACTGGACTGGGGTGATGGGTTTGGGTGGGGGATCACAGTGGTAAGGTGCCTCTCCCATCACATCGTATGAAGGGTACATACTACCTACGTGACTTATCACTGCTGTTGTTGATCCTGGTGACCCGGCTGAGGCAGTGCGTGTCAGGCTTCTCCACCGTAAAGCTGCCCTTTCCCCCCTTTCCACAGTGTCCTCTTTAGAAGGCAGTCATTATGCATACCTGACGCTTACAGCGTGGGGGGTTGTGCTGCACCTCCTTGATAGGGAATTATCTACATAAATTAATTTGTTCTGTATGGGAGACTCTCCTAGTATTTATTTATTAATATTAAATCATTTATTGATATTAGTGTGGCCTCATGGATATTTGTTTTACACTTTGCAACCTAGTATATTTTGATTTTTGCAAAGCATTTGATTCTGGTGTCCCTGGCATTCTGGGTGTAGTTGATAAAATATGGATAATCAGCTCTGATAAATTCACTGAATTCCGTATCTAATGAATGAGAGTTATCCACCCTAGAGCACTGGCGGCGGGTACGGGGTGGGAAATCAAGGTCTCTATGTGATTTTTAAACAAATGAAATAGAAACTGCCAGAAAACGTAGCATTTTGAAGGGGAAATGACACCCCTATTCTGTAGTGCATGTGGTGCGCAGTGAGCAGGGCTGAAAAATGTATTTCTGTGGGTCTCGGTCAGTAACACAGTGTGAACAGAACCACCCCTACGAGGCTCTGTCCGTGGTCCTGCCCTGGGTTTACACCAGCCTGGCAGATTGAGACATAAAGCACCCACTTCTCCAGCCTGAAGGCAGCCCAGCATCGGAGTGACAAAGGTAGGATTGTAAATTCTCTCTATTGTCTGTTACAATGGGAGGAAATGAACAAGGTGAAATTTAACAGGGATAAGGTCCAAGTTACAGGTTTAGATTTAAGAAAGTACTGACACAGACAACAGACCTGATCTCTTCAACAAGTCAGGGTTATTCAAATTAAAAAAAAAAAAAAAAGAATTGCATTAAAGTAAGAGATCAGAATAACCGGATGCATTGCACAGTCCTGGCGAGAAAACTGGTTTGAACAAAACAGCAAAGATTGATGTTTTGGGGCCAAATAGGGAAATCTGGATAAGGTGTGCATGTTAAATGGGATGAGAATTTATTGAAGCAGGAAAGTGCTGATCATTTACTGGAAAAAAATCAGGTTACAAGACAGTATGCACAGCATGACCTCATTTTATGGAGAAAATCTACATATAAGCATAGAAACAGCTCTGGAAGGATGTGACCAAGGTGTCACAGGTAGGCTCCCTGGGAGATGGGAACATATTTTATTTTTGCTTGTCCATATTTCTAACTTCCCGCAGAGCATATACACTGATTCTGTAATGATATAAGATTATGCTTTAAAAAGAAAAATCACTGACCCTCCTCCAGGATGGAGGGGAATCTTGGCTTGGCAGAGGCTGCTAAGAAAGATCCCTGGGGGTTTCAGTGGCCAGAAACTTAACGTGACTGCACCACTCAAAAGGCACCCTCGCCCTGAGCCACCTGTGTGTGTGAGAGGTGCTGGGGCCGGAACAGTCCTGGAGTCTCCTGGTCCAGCCCCTCCATGTCATTACTAGGAGAACTCCGTCACACAATTAGTCGATGGTGGCTTCAGGGCTGGAAGCCAGAGGTTTGGTCCCTGCCAGATTGTACGGAAATGGTCTGGGGCTTCAAGAACAGGGGGTATTTGGCCTGGAGAAGGGAGGATGGTAGGAAGTGAGTGGGAAGGGGACAGGAGTGCTGTTTCCAAATATTTAAAGGCTGCCACGTAGAAGAGAGACCCACGTGGGTCCCCGTCCAGAACCACGATGACTAAGTGACAAGCAGGTTTGGCTCCAGCGTGTATGAGGAAGAAGCTCTAAGAAGAGGAGCTGTCCAGATCAGGGATAAGGCTGGGGCTTGTTAGGGGCTCACCACTGAGCCCTTGTGGCCTCCTGCCAGAGCCTGCTGGGAAGCTCTTCCCACCAGTGAGACTGCGGTTCTGGAACTCCAGTTCCACCCAGAGCCAGACGTCTCCCCTGCAGCCTGTGTCCTGAGAGGAAGGACTGGGGCTCTCCCCAAGCTTGGGGTCTGCTCAGCCTGCCTCAATGAGGGGAGAGGCTTGACCAGCCTTTGGGAAGGAGAAGGACCGGGTGGCTACAGGAAACGGTCCTGAACAAATCCCAGCAGAGGGAGAGGGTGGGCTCCAAAGGGGCTGTAGCAGTGAGCCTCCTGGGATGGGGTGCCTGAGTTCTCGAACTTGACACTTGCCTCACCCTCTTTCACTTACTGGTCTCAGGGACTCCCAGGTCCCAGCCATGCCCAATGGCCATGCAGAGATGATTACCTATCATCTCCCCCTTGCCAGGTGACAGGAAGGCATGGATCCAACCCAGGCATGCCCTGGCTTCTCTTATGTTCTGGAATGCTAGGCCCCAGCTGTCCCCAGAACAGAATGCCAGCCAGTGCCCATGCAAGAGCCTGCGGCCTCAGGTGGCCTTGGAAACTCACTACTCAGGGCTTCGTCTCCTGACCATTTCAGAGTGGGCAGTAGCAGAAGGGTGGGGATGCTCTCCCGCCAGGTGGGTGCCTTGCCGTACCCCCTCCCCCAGACATAGCCACCTGTCCCTGTGCCCATAGCATGAGAGTACACCTGTCTCTGCCCACCCCACTGGCAGCACCCACCCTCCGATCCCAGCCCTGCTACAACCAACGCCGTTCCTACTTTCCCTAAATCGACGCGGCCCGCCCCCCCCCCCCCCTTGCTGCAAACACTGCTCAGCTGCCGCTCCCCATCTTGGCTCTGGGAGGTCTGCCGCAGCCGACACAGCCAGCTGCCAGCCAGGCCTGCCCATGGGAGCCCGCATGGGGGGTCATCGGGCGCTGGGCCGAGAATCCAGGAAGGTCGCAAGCAGACACCTCCCGCTGTGTTCTAGGTCGGCTGGGTGCAGTCAAGGAGCCGAGACAGCAGAGCGCCCCTAGTTGTCCTCTCGCTCCCTCGGCCAGGCCCAGTGGGGCGCGTGCCTCCCTCCCCCACCCCACCCCATACGGCGTCCTGGGATTCCCGCACACGGACCTCTGCGTCTCGGTCTCCGCAGGGTAGGAAGGGGCGGGGGTCCCGGGACCAGGATCTGACGGCTCCTTCCTCCCACCCCCCCAAACCCCGAGTGGGCTGCAGAGCGGTCAGAGGGGCCCGCAAGGGCCCGGGGTAGGGAAGATAGGCTGAGAAGCCCCCACCCCGGGCGTGATGCGTGACTCTCGCAGCGCCGGCGCTAATGGTGGAAAGCGAGGGTCCGACAGGGTGGGGATGCCCGGGGGCCCGGCCGGGAGCGGGCCGGTGAAACGGCGGGAAAGCCGCGGGTGGGAGATTGGGGCGCGGACGCCCCCGCCGCGGGCCCTTACCTCCTCGCCTTGGCCGAAGCGCAGTCCGAGCGCCGCGACGCGCTCCACGCGCAGGAAGCCGTCGGGGTCGCGGCCGCACACCTCGAACACCTCGCGCAGGCGGCGCACCGAGCGCAGCAGAGCCGCGGGGGCGCCTGCCCAGCCCGCGCCGCCCGCCATCCGGCCCGGCCCCGCGGCTCCCGAGCCCCGCGCCCGCCGCGCCCGCCCGCCCCGCGCCGCCGCCGCCGCCGCCGCCGCCATCGCCGCGCGGCCCTCCGCCCGGCGCTGCGACGCGCAGCCTCCGCCCGGTGGCGGCGGCGGCCGCCGAGCCGTGTCAGCAGCGGCGCCGCAGCCCCGCGGCTCGGGGCGGGCGGGGGAGGGGGAGGCTGCAGACAAAAGAGGCCGCGCGCCCCCGAGGGCGGCCGCCCTCGTGGCCCCGCCGCCTCCCCCAGACTCGGTGTCCCTCGGCGGCTCCGAGCTCGTCCCGTCCCCTGGGAAACCGGGAGGGTGGGTGTGCGACAGGCGCCTGGAAACCCAGGGCTGCCCGAAGGCCCCGCCCCTGCTTGGAGGAGTCAGAGAGGAGGCCCGAGTCCCCGGACCAGCCGCGCCGGGGTCCAACAGCCTCGCTTCCAACCTCAGACCCCCAACCCCAAGGCCAGGCCGTCTCCGTTCACCGCGTCCTGTGTGCGTACCCAGCAGTGTCGAGAGCTCAGTATGTCCTAGGGGTTTCCTACATTAGCGCGTTGGATTGTTACACTCATCTCCGAGGAAGCTGAGGCTCAGAGAGGTTGAACTACTTACCCTAGGTCACACAGCCTCTGGGAGCCCGGGTCAGGATTCCTAGCCAGTCTGGAGCTGGATGGACCTAGACTCCCTATTCTTACCCTTCTCTGTGCTGCCTTTTAAAGAACAGTTTCCAGGCTTAGGTCCACACAGGCCTCCCCAACAGAACTCTGGGCCAGCTCTGGGCTGGGAAAGGGTGCAGAGAGAGGGAGCAGAGACCCTGGGACAGGAGAGCGAAAGAGGAGACCAGAACAGGCAAGAGGAAGGAAAAGCAAGGGCCACCCATCAGGCCTGCCTGTTGCAGGGCCGGGGGCCACCCAGCGCCTTGGGGAGGTTCCTTCCCTTCCCCTGGGTTCCCGCTCTCAGCCCTTGCAGCCCTGGGCTTCAAGCTGAGAGCCCAGGACAAGAGTCTTGGCCCTGGGAGCTGGTGGCAGCCTCCAGGCCTGGACCTTAGCCTCCTCCCAGTCGTGCTCAGCTGAGCCTCCACCCCAGCTCCTCTGACTCCCAGCCTCGCCCGGGGCTCTGCAGAACCTGGCCTGACTCTGCTCTCCTCCTTCCTGGTTGCTCAGCATGCCAGGCCCTTGTGGCACCAGTTGCACCCAACCCAAATACAGGTCTTGGCTGAGCCCACCCCCACTTATGCTTCCCAGCTCAGTTCAGAGGTTTCCTCCTCCAGGAAGCCTTCCCTGATGGCACTCCATCTTGCCTGTTAGTCTGATTTCTGGTCCCTTCCTCCAGATACCTACTTAGTTCTACAGTTCTTTGGTGGGCTGCCCATCTCCCCCAGCATGGTGGGAAACCCTCCAGGGCAGGATGTATCTTAGTCACTTCTTGTCCCTGACCTCCATTCAAGGATGGGTGCAGAGGAAGCCCCTGCCTAGAGGAGATGGGGCCCTGCCCCATCATGTGCAGGAGCCAAGAGCAGTGTAGGGACCCAGACAGAGAGGCTGGGGTGGGGCCCAGTTCTGCACATGAGCTGTGTGGCTTCTCTTCCCTGGACCTCAGTTTCCCCCTCTGTGGTCTTCCTGCTTAACTGTGAATATATCCTGCTCAGGGGCTGCCATGTGGCTTCTCTGATTCTCCCACCCAAGAGGCTCAGGACAGAAGGGAGATGGGCAGGGCTGAGTTATCCCCGTTGGGGAGCTGTAGAAACGGCTCTCAGAGCTCTCCCTGCATCAAATCCCCCAAAAGAAGAGACCAGGGAGGCTGAAAGACCTCAGCTGGCAGAGGTGGGGGCCTCAGACCTGAGCATGAACAAATCCCAGGTGAACCAAGCTTGAAGCCCACACCAGATTAGTGGTTCTCCCAAAAGACAGGAGCCCTTCCTGACCCCTGTCTCTCCTCACCCATATCTAGGAGCATCTCAGCTCCCTCCTGCCTCCCTCTTCCTGCGGCACCTCCTCACTCCTACCCTCTCCCCATCCCACTTTCTCTGGCCAACTCCCATCCTTCCAGATTCCATGGAAGTGGTATTTCCTGCAAGAAGCCTTCCCTGACCACACCCTTGCTCACCTTGACTGCCTCTCCCCTGTGCTCGTGTAGCATTCTGTGCGGGGAGGTGACAAGTATACACTGTGGAACCACCCTACAGCTGGGGATAAGGCCATGAGGGTCAAGTGATTTAATATGTGTAAGTGTCAGAAGAGTGTTCCAGGTAGTAAGTGCCAACTATTGTGTCCTGAGGTCTCTCACTCCTGTTACCACAAGAACATCTGGGAAGTAGGTTTCAAAGTTCACACAGTGACCATGAGGTCCATGAGGGCAGGGACTGTGTCATTTCTCTTTTGATTTTCTAGCTCCAGGCTCTTAGCACAATGACCAATACACACAATTAAGGTCTATGAAGGAATAAATTAGGGAAGGAACGGGCACACATATGGTGTGGTAAACAGAAACATGGCCTCTCAAAAGATACCCACATGCTGATCCCTGGGAGCTGGAAAATTACCTTATTGGAAAAAGATTCTTTGCAGGTGTGATGAAGTTAAGGCTCTGGAGATGGGGAGAATCTCCTGGGGTAGCCAGATGGGTTCTAAGTGCAATCACAGTATTCTCATAAGAGGGAGGCAGAGGCCGATTTAACACAAACAGAAGAGAAGGCGATGTGGCCACACGGGGCAGAGAGCGGAGGGATTTAGCCATAAGGCAAGAATGCCAGCAGCCACCCGAAGCTGGAAGAGGTGAGGGTGTGAATCATTCCTAGAGCCTCTGGAGGGAGCATGGCCCTGCCCACACCTTGATCTTGGGCTTCTGGCCTCCAGAACTGTGACACAATGAATTTCTTGTTGTTTTAAGCCTCCAAGTTGGTGGTACTTTGTTATAGCAGCCACAGGAAACCAATATATATGGTATAAATATCATGGGGAAGTTATTACAGATTAAGAGCCAGGCTTTGGAATCTAAAACAGCTGAGCCAGGCACCAAGGGCTGCTACTCATTTAGCCGTTTGACTCTGGACGAGTTAACTTCTCTGAACCTCAGTGTCCCTGTCTGTAAAGTGAGGATAGTAGTTCCTACCTACAGAAGTCCTGCAGGTTTCACATGAGAAAATGAATGTAACGTGGCTGGCACAGTGCCTGGCATGTACCTGGCCCGTGGTGATTATGATGCGTGTTGGCATGGAGAGGTTGAGAACCAGTCTGAACGGGGGAAGCATTTCTGATTTTCACCTCCAGGCCTTGAATTCAGCGTCCATGTTGTATGGAAATGGGACAGGATTCAGTTTCTTGCTGCTCACAACCTGCTGGGTTTTTTTTTTTAACCATGAATAAATATCGCTCTGGTGGAAAGGAAGGGTGTGGGAATGCCTGGGCCTTTTTCACCTGTCCTCCAGCATGCGGGGTCTGAGGCAGAAGCAGCAGCAGCACTGCCTGGGGGGCCGAGGACCCTGGTAGGACTGGGGTGAGTCCGGGGTGAGCAGGGTGTCTCAAGACCCTGTCCTTCCTTGTTGGGAGGGGTGCCCGGGCTGGGGTTTCACTCACCCTGGGTGGCCACCCACAAGTTTCTCTGACCCTCAGAAGGGAGTAGGTCCATCTGATTGCTAGCGTTCCTTCCAGGATTCTAAGAAGAATGACAAAACCATACTTATTCTACCCAACTAGGTTCCACATCCTTTCAACAGCCTCAGAAATGGCTCCTAGAAGTGACTTGTGGCTGGGGCGGCTCGCGGTTTAGGAAGCGGCCTCCTGCCCGCGTCTCACCTACCGGAAGTCCTCCAGGCTCACCTACCGGAAGTCCTCCAGGCTCACCTAACGGAAGTCCTCTCGGATCAGCACGTTCCCTGCTCCCGGCCTTCTCTGCTGCCCCTTCTGCCGGAAAGAAACGCGGGAGTCCTCAGTTACAGACTGCGTGGAATAAAAGGGAGAGTGGGAAGATTGGGGTGGGGTAGGGGCCATTTTTTACTGAAAGGTAACCGGCCTCACCCTGACTGATACAGGAGGAGGGATCCTGGTTTCCACGGAAGGCCTGACATTCAGAGAGCCAAAGACTGTCAGGATGGGAGACACCTTCCTCCCAACCCCCACTCCTCCAAGATCACAAAGCTTTTTGGTGGCAGAATTAGGACCACGGCCTAAGTGGCCTCCTGACCCCCATCAATGCTCCTTTCTGCACAGAAGCTTTGGAGCAGAAGGTCCTGGAGTAGAATTGCTGGACTAAAGCCCCAGCTACCTATTCTGCCATCCCCACCTGAAAAGCTTAAAAACGAAAGACAACAGAAAGCCGGGGCGTCCAGTCCAGCTGAATACACATCTGGGAGGGAACAGGGGCTGGGGACTGCGGTGCCAGCTGGGCCGAACAAGCCAGGATCACTGAGATTAGTGTAGAGGCCAAGGTCTTCCTCCTGGGAACCTCTCCAACAAGGACAACGCACGGGTGCACGGCTTGGTGACCTTGGGGTGAAGCCCTCCACAGAATTCTCAGAAACAAACTGAGGTGCAGTGTTTAGAGTGGTCTCCAGCAGGGCGCCAGCCCGAGGAAGCAAAGCCTCAGAGAGGGAGGGCGCCGCGACTCCGTCGATCCTCCTCCCCCGGGACAGGCCCGATTCTCCCGCGCCCCCTGCTGTTCAAGGGAGGTTTTAAAATTTAAGATCACTCCTTAGAAGCAGCATTTCTTTCCTAGACTCATTCTCTTGACAAATAGGTATTGAGCGTCTACTACGTGCCAAGCCCTGTTCTAGGCTCTGGGGATACATCAGTGAACAAGATGGAAAACTTCTCTCCCTTCACCGAGCTCATTTTCTTGTGGGTTCTGGGGAATTCCCAAGGAAATTCTAGGCCTCTTCCGAGCGCCATCCTGGATGTAAATGGTAGAGATTTTTTTTTTTTTTCTGGCACATAATGTTTCGACAGGACTTATTAACTAATGCCACCTGGATTTGAAGACTCCATAAGAGCCAGGCCCACGGCAAG